CCCAGAGCAGAGAGTCTCGGGATTCCAACTGGCGTGAGATGGAGCCAGGGCCTAAGGGGGAGCCGAAGGTCCCAGAGAGGGGACCAGAGCTAAGGGGGTGAAGGGTACAGCTGAGTTTAGCTGCCTGGGATGCCATCTGTGAGCCTTGGGCCACAGTGTATGGGTAAAACAGAGCTGCGGATATTCCCCTAAACATTGGGGTTCAAAATGAGCAGCCTCCCACCTAATTAACATCTCAATACTATTACATCAAGGCGTGACAGGCGAGTGAGGTGGGCAGCTGGCCCATAGACAGGAGGCGGGCCAGTGCTTGCACTAGGCATGATAGTTTGCCCCCATCACAGTGATCTTGCCACCCATTCCTGTGTGCTTTGGTGAAGTCACTGTTACAGGGCATCACTGACAGGCAGGGTTTGGTCCACTACTGGTCCTGCATTCCCTGTTAGTGTCCCTATCTGCCTTCTCTTATTTAAGTCTCTGTTATCAACTGGTTAATTGAGAGGCCCCCAGCCTCTCTGACTACATGGTCTCTTCTTGCCCCTGACTAAGAGCCCTGTGTTTCAGTATCTCCTGGGTTTCAACCCAGAGCCTTTGGCTCCGCTAGCTCACAAATTAACCCCTAGGCTAGGCATAGCAAGCTTGCTGCCTTCGTTGCCCTGTCAGAGCCTAAACTTTGGAGTGATTATGCTCTGGTCCAATGTAGGCTGAACCCTTCCAGGGTTGGTCACTGCAGAGTTCCATTCCTTGGCACTCTGCTATGCAGCCTCATCATCATCCGTTATAACCATGTCTGGTTCACTGGTTGTTATCACCAGAAGTTTAACAGAACTGTCTTTCTACTCTGGGTCACAAATGGAGTCCAGAACACAAAACTTTGCCCCACTTCCCCGCCCAAAAAGGTAACAAAAAAACCATCCAGCTTACCACAGCTGAGATCCCCACATCCTTGAATCCATTTCCCGACAGTTCAGGGACCCTACTTTCTTCCTGCTAGGGTGTCTCCCTTCTTCCTTATGAAGGTAGTCCACCTGCCCATCCTAGCTCCCCAGCTGGACTTCTCATTCCTTCCTACTTGCTGTCTGGGACCAGCATTTATGCCCTGTGTTCCTTCCCCTCTGTCAAGCACCTAAATGCCCAGTCAAACTAGAACAGGAGGTCCTCATTAGAGGCTCCCAGTATCTAGTAGGGGTGAGGCTGCAGCTTAAGACCAGCTGCACCTCTTCACCCTCCTTCCCTGGTTTCTCATTCCTTCTTTCTCAGAAAGACTGAGTCTTAAAGGGACATCACCCCTCAGCTCTGTCCTGTAGTCTCTTCCCAGTAACTGTGGTGAAACCCCCTATTACAGTCATGTTAAAATGTTGGTGCATATGTAGGATGGTTTAGTCAGAGATTATTCTGTGTAGAGCAGGGCCTGAACTAAATGACCTTACAAGATCCCTTCCAGCCCTACTTCCCTATGTGTCATGCTTCCTACATTTAGCCTTCTTTCACACCTAGGACATCTGTTGCAAAGAGAATTTCTTCTGTCAGTTTAGACCGGCCCAAAGCCCCTGCCCCCCAGCCCTGCTCATAACCCTTCCCCCCACCCCTGCTGCTCTTGCCCTCCACCCAAAGCCCTGCCCCCCAGCCCGGGCTCTGTGGCTATCAGCAGCTACCCAGAACCTGGGCCAACTGCAAACATTTGCTGCCTCTCCACCCCAGCCTCGGACCCAGCTGACTCCCAGCCCCAGACACAACCCCAGGATCCAGGGCCAGCTGCCTGCTGGGAGCAGCCTGGGTTCCCAGGTGGCAGCAGGTACCCAGAGCCCGGGCCAGCTGCAGCCGGGAGGCTGCAAACAGCTGCGCCGGGCTCCGGATCCCAGGCATCAACTCCATACTGGTGTGTGTAGATGCGCCTTGGAGTGGGCAGTGGGGGAGGGGCCCGAGGCAGTGCAACCCCGGTCTCTTCCCTGCTGCCAGCACAGAGCTGGTGACTGGGGTCAAGAGCCTGGCACAGCTGTTTGTAGCACTCCTGGGCTCTGGGCAGCTGCAGCAAGCAGTGGGCAGGCTGCAAACAGCTGTGCCAGGCTCCACAGCTCCAGTATCAGCTCTGTGCTGGCGGCGACTGCACGCACACCTCACAGTGGGGCTGGGACACTGCAAGCCCTGCTGGGAGCAGCCCTGGCTCCGTCGCTGGCAGCGGCTACCCAGAGCTGGGGCTGGCCGTGGCATGCTGAGCAAAATATCCTCGTGTGGCATACTCGGCACGCATGCCGGGGGTTGCCGAACCCTGGTTTAGACAATGGGTATAAATTCTCGCTTTTGACAGATAGAGGCAGGAAGATAGTAGCTGTCTTCTGCCTTAATTTGTGCTATGAAAGAAAGATTCTTGCTGCTTTGCTGGATTGTCTTCCTGATTCTTACCAAAAGAGGAAGGCTCTTGGAACCATCTGCACTTGATAGTAGAGTCTTATTGATTTTTCTTCGATTCATAGTGGTCCCAGGCCCACTATGCTTAATCTGGGTTAAAGTTCAGTGTAGTCTGCTTCTTGAGCTGTGCATCACAGCTCTCTTCAGAGGCAGCCTTCTGGTTGCAGCATATCCCACTTCCTGTGTTGTACAGTATGTCCTGCTTGTTTTAATTTTGTGGTCAAAGATTTTCTTTGGGATAAACAAGAGGCTGCTCCAACACCAGTGTCCTGTGCTTTCAATAAGTCTGACTTGACTTGCAAAGGTATTTGGAGAACAGTATTCCGTTAATATATCAGTCCTTACATTGGTTCTTGAAAAGCAGGGTTTCTCTTTAGAGAATCTTTTAGGGTGAGAATTACCTTATGGTAGCAGAAGTTCTTTAGGGGCGCTGGGTCTGCTTGATCCTTCAGATACATGGTGCATGAGAGAGGGAATAATACAGACATCAATCCAGACCTTTTGACATAGTCTTTCAGTCATTGCTCAGGTCTACGTCTCACCATCTTATTGTCATCTGTCTATAAGATATCTGGGTAGAGGTGTATTTCTGATTCCATACTAGATACTTCTGTTTGTATTATCCAGAGGTTTTGTGTTTAATTTTTGTCTCTGACCACATAAGATATATTCCTCCAGCCTCCTTTTCTTATGTAGTATTAAAATATTTTATATGTCCTCATGCTGCTGTTTTCTCTGACATTATTCCAGCATTATTGAAATCTTATTTTTATGTAAGACATTTAAATCTTGAAGTTCTATTGCTTCAAACTGTGACACTACAATTTTTCTGTAATAAAAAGATGCCCTCCCCTTGTGCTTCCACATGAAAACCACTGGCCTCCTTTAAAGGATTTGTTAAATGTAAACTTACTTTTTCTGTAACACCCATTCAAGTGTGTTCTGAAATAGCAGGCATGAAGGGGCAGACCTATAGTGTGATTTCCTTGCATGTCTTAGAAATTATGTTTTTTTGCATCATCCTTACGGGACTGTAGACTATCCCTTGTGCTTTTCTTGATTTCTAATCATCTATTTATAAGATTCCTGGGTAGAGGCCTATTTTTGGTTTCATACTAGTTCTTTATGTGTATATTGGTTTTGCGTTTAATTTTTATCTGAGGCCACATAAAATATATATCCATTCAGCCTCCTTTTTCACATAATATTAAAATATTTTATATGTCTTCATGTTGCTATATTTTTCTGTCATTTTTCAGCATTGTGAAATCTTATCAGCACAGCGGCTGAAAAAAGATAATGAATAAAATGAAGGAAAAACACTGGATGACATTTCAGTACAGGGACAACTGTCTCTTAGTTCAGCTTTCTGGAGGCAATAGGTTGTTCTAAAGGAAAGGCAGTTTCATTTACTCATGGAGCAAGCACAAAAATCAGTCTATCTTTGCACTTCACAAAGTTGCAAGATGCTGTTTTCTTATAGAATAAATAGGCCTTATTTGCATGACTTTGAAAAGAACTGGATGCAGTTGGGCCATGTCTCTGTTCAAGAGGGAGCTTTGTGAGAACCATGGCATTTATGAGTGGATTAAGTAGAAGCAGATTCTGTTAGGGAAGTGCAGAGGAGGTGGACCCTGGTCTGGCTAGAGGTCACAGGAGTTCATCCCTTTTGGTTTTGTTGTGCCAAATGTCTACAGACTGGTAGATGAACATTTACCAGTCTAGACTGGTGGGTCTGCATGAGAGAAGTTGAATGCACAGGTAAGAATTCCCTTGTTTATCAAATGAAAAGCTGCAGAATTTCCTGATTGATAGGTTTATCAATCCTACCCCCTTTCAGACCTTTCCTGAAACTGGCACTTCTTTAAATTAAACTCCTACAGCTGGTAAGGCATGAACACTTGTGTATCTGAAATAGGGCAGAATTATCCAAGGCTGATTTAGTCAGGATTGATCCTTCCTTGAGCAGGGGGCTGGACTAGATGACTTTTATGAGGTCCCTTCCAGCCTTTCTTTATTATGATCCAAAGATAACCACATCTCTGGAATTGTCATAGTGAGGGCCACAGGCATACAAATAACTTACCATAAAGTAAAAGGCATGGGGAGGGGCTTTGCCATGTGTCACCTACTTCACCTACTCCTTATGTTTACATATGTGCCCCATGATAAGTGCAAACTGAATTATAGTAAAATTCTCCTGCTTCATTGAGGGCTTAGCTACTGTAGGTCGGCTTCCACTTACCACAGAATAAGAACCTGCATCACAGAGTAGCTGACATGATAAAGAACTAAATCCTCTCACCTCTCTGGTTATTTGTATGTCCACACTCTAGAAAATTTCTTCCATACTAAGGCACTATGCAGATGGTATGCTGGAAGGAGATCCCAGTAAGGATATCTAGACAACAGTCCATCAGCAGGAGGTTGTTTACATTAACTAATCTATCCCCTTTGTGCCTATCTATCAATATTGTACCCCCCTCAACCTGCCTGACCATGATAAGGACAAATGTCATCCCATGCCAAAAGGGGATTCTTTGCATTGTCATTGCTATTTTTTGCTAACCTATGATGTGTTCTTTCTTTAGCGTACATACCGAATGCCAAAGGATATCCACGTTGAACCACAGAAGTTTGCTGCGGAGTTGATCAATCGCTTGGAGGAAGTGCAAAAGGAACGTGAAGCAGAGGAAAAATTAGAAGAGCGCCTTAAACGTGTTCGAGCGGTTAGTAATAGCCTTAACTTCTCTATAAGCTTGGCAGTGTGTTTGGAAAACTTGAACCATGGGGATTCATAGATTCATAGATGCTAGGGTCGGAAGGGACCTCAATAGATCATCGAGTCCGACCCCCTGCATAGGCAGGGAAGAGTGCTGGGTTCAGATGACCCCAGCTAGATGCTTATCCAACCTCCTCTTGAAGACCCCCAGGGTAGGGGAGAGCACCACCTCCCTTGGGAGCCCATTCCAGACCTTGGCCACTCTAACTGTGAAGAAGTTCTTCCTAATGTCCAGTCTAAATCTGCTCTCTGCTAGCTTGTGGCCATTATTTCTTGTAACCCCCAGGAGCGCCTTGGTGAATAAAACCTCACCAATTCCCTTCTGTGCCCCCGTGATGAACTTATAGGCAGCCACAAGGTCGCCTCTCAACCTTCTCTTGCGGAGGCTGAAGAGGTCCAGGTACCCCAGGATCTTTCAGTAGCTGTGATACTCAGTGGTGGGGGAGGTTCGCACTGCATGGTTTCTGTAGGACAAGGTCATCAGTTCACAACAGGATTACTTACATGCCTCCATTACCCCAGGCTCCCCTTGTTCCATCTTTGCGCTCTCTGTCTCTCTCTCCACTTCAAAGACTCTTCAATTCCTCTAATTCCCTCCTTCATACTAAGAACTTTACCTGAACCACCATTCTTCCCCCATTCTCCATAGCTGAGGCTCCTTGTGCAGCCCCTTTCTGCTGTATAATCATTGAATTAAGAAAAATGGGACTGGAAGGGACTTCAGCAGGTCATCCAGTCTTAATCCCCTGCTCAAGACAGTATCACCCGTGTCTAAACCATCTCAGCCAGGTATTTGTCTAACCTGCACTTAAAATCTTCCAATGATTGAGATTCCACAACCTTTTTACATAATCTTTTCCAGTACTTAACACCTTCATAGTTAGAAAGTTCTTCTTAATACCTGGGGCTCTATGTAATACTCATTCCTTTTCTCTTCCATGCCAGGAGCTGAGTAGTACCGCATCCCCACTTTTCAGGGTGTCTCAGTGCCTCCCATTTCTCCTTTCCTCATGCCAGACACTCAGTGTGCCCTCCTCTCCCATATCATGTACACCATTTTCTCACCATGCTAGGGGCTCTGCATGACCCCCCCATTCCTGCCTTCTCTGATGCCTCCCACAGGATGGTCAAGTGGGAATGACAGGCCCTCCCAGCAAGCAAGCTTGAGAAGGACTTGCACCCTTGCCATGTAACCTGGAGGCTGTCACAATCTTGGGGGCCCCTCTCTGCCCAAGCCAAGACCCGCATGTAGGTCTCAATGTGTGGGCCCTCTTTCTCAGGCAGTCAGCACCTCATTCTGTGTCTGCAGGTGAAGGATGGGAAGGGGCTCCCACTGCCTGAGGTGGACAGGGCAGCAACCAAGCCAGCTGTGAAGCTCTGCTTCATTCTTTTGCTACTGATCATGGCCCTCTCCCATATTTGCCTGCTCTAGGCTGCCGAGCTCCTCTCATTATCTCCCAGCAATCCGCGCGCGCTAACCGTCCACCCATCCCACAGCTCCTGGCTTACCTACAGCTCCCAGGAGAACAAGCAGGGAAGGGAACCTGCTCACTGTCATGCCACTGGTGGCGGCAGATGGATTCCCCTTCTCTACTGGCTCCACTGGGAGAGTGCTGGGAGCTGTGAGGTCTCGGGGGGAAGAGGGAGAGTCCTGAGGGGAGGGAGGAAGCCCCAGGGATGGGTGGCAGGGAGATGTAGGACAGAGGGGGAATCCCAAGGGACAGCGGGGGAGCCCTAGGGTCAGAGTGTGAGTGTGTGTGTGTGTGTGTGTGTGTGTGTGTCGGGGGTGGTATCCCAAAGGGCAAGGGATGGATGGACAGGGTGAGCCCTGGAGGCTGGGAAGTGCCCAGAATGGGAGGATTCTTATCTTTAGGTGCTGTCCTGGTTATACTCACTGTCACTGTAGGGGAAGACAGAACTGCTGGGAGTGGTGCTTTATGTTATGCTGGAGGACAGCTCCCAAGTGGTTTTGAGCCTGTGGAGCAGTCACATGTGACTGCAACACAAGCTACCCAAAACCAGTTAAAGAGATAATTCTCGATGGAAGAAGATTATTTCTGACCCGCTCAGAGGTCCCTTAGTATGTGTTTCTCTGCCCTAATGTGTATAGACTTCATTTTAAGGGCCCTTAACACATAGTTAAGTTAATGTGTGATAATGCCTATCAGGACATTACAAACTGAGATGATCCATACACTCATTTAATTGAGAACCCTAGACTGTTTGCTGAGGTTTGTGAATATAACCTAAGAACTGCCATTTACACAGTGAGACCATAGGGTCATCTGGCCCAGCTGCTTGCATCTGCAGAGAGGTGCCATCACTTCTCTCTGGCTGCTGCAGCAGCTGCTGGACAAGGGAGCTCCAGGTGAAACTCCTCTGGGGACCCTGCTATCCTGCCTAACTCCTTGCTGGAAAAGCCTCCTGCTGGCTTCCCTGTGGGACTAGCACCTACCTGCTCCACCTGGGCTAGCCCTCATGCTGTCACCACCACTGCTGCTCTCCCTCCTCGGTAGAGGGAGCACCTCTACTCACACTTGCACCTGCACCCACTCCTGCTCCCAGCACCTGAGCTGCCACGGTCACTGCGCAGCCAGAGGAGACTGCATATCACCAGTAGGACACCTCCACCACTTCCATCTACACCAGCGCCTTGGCAGCACCTCTGTGTATCTGCCTCCCATGTGGTAAATCTTGTGCTTCACTCCTACTTGCCTTTGTGTCTGTGATAGGCTGAGCAAGCCAGCTGTGTGCCTTTCCATCCCTCACGTGCATCTCCTGCTTACCCCTCGCAGAACACTAGCCCTAGTCCCCCACTTTCCCCCTTCCCCTCCCCCCAGCACATGCGTGAGTGTGTGTGTGTGTGTGTGTGTGTGTGTGTGTGTGTCGGGGGTGGTATCCCAAAGGGCAAGGGATGGATGGACAGGGTGAGCCCTGGAGGCTGGGAAGTGCCCAGAATGGGAGGATTCTTATCTTTAGGTGCTGTCCTGGTTATACTCACTGTCACTGTAGGGGAAGACAGAACTGCTGGGAGTGGTGCTTTATGTTATGCTGGAGGACAGCTCCCAAGTGGTTTTGAGCCTGTGGAGCAGTCACATGTGACTGCAACACAAGCTACCCAAAACCAGTTAAAGAGATAATTCTCGATGGAAGAAGATTATTTCTGACCCGCTCAGAGGTCCCTTAGTATGTGTTTCTCTGCCCTAATGTGTATAGACTTCATTTTAAGGGCCCTTAACACATAGTTAAGTTAATGTGTGATAATGCCTATCAGGACATTACAAACTGAGATGATCCATACACTCATTTAATTGAGAACCCTAGACTGTTTGCTGAGGTTTGTGAATATAACCTAAGAACTGCCATTTACACAGTGAGACCATAGGGTCATCTGGCCCAGCTGCTTGCATCTGCAGAGAGGTGCCATCACTTCTCTCTGGCTGCTGCAGCAGCTGCTGGACAAGGGAGCTCCAGGTGAAACTCCTCTGGGGACCCTGCTATCCTGCCTAACTCCTTGCTGGAAAAGCCTCCTGCTGGCTTCCCTGTGGGACTAGCACCTACCTGCTCCACCTGGGCTAGCCCTCATGCTGTCACCACCACTGCTGCTCTCCCTCCTCGGTAGAGGGAGCACCTCTACTCACACTTGCACCTGCACCCACTCCTGCTCCCAGCACCTGAGCTGCCACGGTCACTGCGCAGCCAGAGGAGACTGCATATCACCAGTAGGACACCTCCACCACTTCCATCTACACCAGCGCCTTGGCAGCACCTCTGTGTATCTGCCTCCCATGTGGTAAATCTTGTGCTTCACTCCTACTTGCCTTTGTGTCTGTGATAGGCTGAGCAAGCCAGCTGTGTGCCTTTCCATCCCTCACGTGCATCTCCTGCTTACCCCTCGCAGAACACTAGCCCTAGTCCCCCACTTTCCCCCTTCCCCTCCCCCCAGCACATGCCAGCCCCATCCCTCCCCACCCCCAAGCCATAGTGCAGCTGGAGGAAGTGCCCTGCCAGAGCCAGCCTGACCTCCTGAGTCCATCTGCCCAGCAGCTCCACTTCCCATTTCACCCTCAACCCATCCCATAGCAGGGTAAGAGCCCCGAGGGGCCTGCCCCTCAGCAGCCTCCAACACAAAGGCTGGCAATGAGGCAGAAGGGGGGTAGGCAGGGGACAGACAGAAGGGTCAGGGGGCTTCCATTGGCCAGACTCCTTCTGGAGGGGCCACAGGGCCCCCCAAGGGACCCAGGGTAAAGCCTTCTCTGATGCCTCCTCCATACCTGGGGGTTGAAAGGTAAAAGGCCAGCTGCCAAACCCAAACCAACATCTGTGGGGACCAGGTACTCCTCACCAGGGAGCACCATACCCACTCAGCATATGCCTCCACCCTTGCCAGCATGGCATTCCAGCCAGGAAGCCACAGCTGTACCCAGGACATTGTGGGTAAACCCATGGCCCCTGAGCCTGCTCCTGGCACGGAGGTGATGATACTGGCGCAGCCTGGGCTGGCTACAAACAGCTGTGCCGGGCTCACCACCTCCGTGCCGGGAATGGGGAAGAGACCAGGGCTGCGCTGACTCAGGCCCCGCCCCCACCACCAGCACCAAGGCACCCCTGCTTGCACCGATGTGGAGCTGGTGCCAGAGCCCGGCACAGCTGTTTGGAGCCTCCCAGCTGCAGCCGCCCTGGCTCTGGGGAGCTGCTGCCAGCCGGGATCCTGGGCTGCTCCCAGCAAGCAGCTGCAAGCCCTGCTCGGAGCAGCCCGGGCTCCAACAGCTACCCAGACCTGGCGTAGCTGCTGGCAGCCACAGAGTTTGGGCTGGGGGCCAGGGGCTTTGGGTGGGAGGCAAGGGGCACAAGCAGGGCATCCTGCCATGTACCTCTTACCCTCATTTTGTTTTTCTGCCATGCCGGCACTCCGGCACCTTCGGAAGTAGACATTATGGTGTTTTT